CCGGATATGGCCGCGCCCCAACAGAACGAGGACGGTTCCTACAACTACGACAAACCGTCAAAGACTTTAGAGAGCGGGTCAAAGTCTGAAATGCCGGATATGAAGTATTTGCCGCCGGCAGATAAAAAGGATGCAGAACCGGCCGCCCCAGATATGCCGGCCGATGTGAGGACCCCGGATATTGCCGCGCCCCAGCAAAATGAGGACGGTTCCTACAATTACGACAAACCTTCAAAGTCCTTGGATAGCGAACCCAAGTCTGAAATGCCGGATATGAAATATTTGCCGCCGGCAGATAAAAAGGATGCAGAACCGACGGCTCCAGATATGCCGGCCGATGCGAAGACTCCGGATATGGCCGCGCCCCAACAAAATGAGGACGGGTCCTACAATTATGAAAAACCCTCGAAAACCTTGGAGAGTGAGGCAAAGGCTGACTCACCAGAAATGAAATATTTGCCACCAGCAGAGATGAAGGAGGCTGGAGCAGCATCTCCGGACATGAAGTATCTGCCGCCTTCTTCGGACAAGACAGCAGACGCGAAATCCCCAGGTACTGCCGCGCCTCAGCAAAACGAGGACGGCTCCTACAATTACGACAAACCCTCAAAGACGCTGGAGGGCGAAGCAAAGTCTACGGCCGACGCCGTGCCGGACATGAAGTACTTGCCTCCCACAGAGAAGAAGGAGGCCGGGACGGCGTCTGCGTCCCCGGACATGAAGTACCTGCCGCCCTCGACCGACAAGGAGGGCGCTGGCGACCCAAAGACGGCCCCCGCCCCGCAACAAAATTCGGACGGCTCTTACAACTACGATAAGCCTTCGAAACCGTTTGACGGCAGTTCTAAAGCTCCCGCCGCCGCTGAGGGTGGTGGTGGTGCGGCCCCGGACATGAAGTATCTCCCGCCCGCCTCTGACAAGGGTGGCCCGGGCGGCGGATCCGGCCCCGACGTGAAATACTTGCCTCCATCATCCGACAAGGCCGGCGCCGCCCAGGCTCCCGCCGCGGCCCGGCCCCCGCAGAACGACGACGGCTCGTACAACTACGACAAGCCGGCTAATCCGCTGCCCGCCGCCGCGAATGGGGACGCTGCCCCCGACATGAAGTACTTGCCGCCGGCCGATGGGAAGGGGACGGCAGCCGCCAGCGCCGCGCCCGACGTGAAGTACCTCCCGCCGACGGGGGACAAGGCCGTCAAAGCCGAGGGCGCCGCCCCCGCCGCCCCTGCCGCCCCCGCG